CGATTCGATTTAATAGTTCGAGATTAGCGCGTTCAACTAAACAAACAATGAAACTCTTCGGTTTTATGATATTACTACAGATAAGAGATCGGTTATTATGGTACTGTGGTGTTCACACAACATACGCATAACGAACGCCTTTTAACGAAGTCGGTTAAGAATCGCGTTATGCGCCGGCAAGTGACGACGATGACGGAGGCGCTGGGATCAATGTTTTAAACCTCGATTTTTTTGTGGATCGATTCATAAGCTTGCGATTTGAATCAATCTTTTCGGAATGGAATCGCCATCCCTAACTACGATCACGCCGTACTAATAGTGATGGAAATTATTGCTGCTTTCACTTTGAATCATAGTCATATGATGAAATTTTCGGATATAGCCACTGTGATTTCACCTGTGATAAGTCACTTCTGCTATTTGGTCATAGACAAAGATAAATGCCATCAAAAACGTAATAAATTAGTCACAGGTGTGAGTTCATGATTTATAACAGGTGATTGTGATTTTATGCCAATCCTAACAAAACAAAAACAACAAACACAAAAAGAAAACGCTAGAGAGGTACAGCAAAATCTTATATTTTGAGTTGTCAACTTGGACGTTAGTTTTTTATTCCTAGTAAAAGCCGTTATGGCTCAAATTACAGTGATATATAACAACTAAAATTAGGAATTAGTTAGATAATATTTATGTATTCCTGCATTTAAGAGAAAAGCGAGAATGCTGCAGCAATCACATGAATGTAACTTGTAAGAATTCAATTTTACTAAAAACTTTTCCCAATATTATCACCATCTGAAATCAATCAACGAAACGAATGCAATATTCTCCAATGTATAATTTTAACCTGTTTTATATAATTCCGTGTGGTGACGGATTAAGAATACAAATTGTCACCACCCCAATTCATCCCGTGGGTGTCGTAAGAGCCGACTAAGGGAGCAAACTAAGCAGGACAACAGCACTGCAAAGAGAAGGAAAACTTGAAACAAACCCTATACCAACCCGTCTGGCCAGCGTGGTATAGTAGGCCAAAAACCTCCTTTCTAAGGAGAGGCCTATGTCCAGCAGTGGACTAGTATAGGCTGTTGATGTTGATGTTATATAATTTGTTCAATTTTATCCCATAGGAATAGGAACCCGAGAGACTGCTAAATAGGTAAAATATAGGTAAATTAGATAAGTACTATTTTGCTTAGCTACCTACGATCGTGATCGTTTTTGTGACAACCCTTGCACATTTTTAGACGAGGCAGTCTTTTAGGTACTTAGTGGTCTATCAAAAAAGTTGACTCACTATTATTTATTATGAGAGTAGATATATTCTTTGATTATTACACATATGGTGTTAGTAACTGTTAAGAAAAAATAGATAACTTATGTAGGTAGCCCTTAACTTGCTTAAGGTAAAAAGTAAAAAGTAAGATGACATGACCAGTGTGCCCGTTTACGGTAGAATTTCTACTGCAGCAGTAGATTTCCAATGAAAATTTGACCAGTAGTTTCCAAACATCTAGTAGATTTCAGTAGATTTAACGCAATAATGGTCCTGGCTGCAAGGACTTGTGTCCAAGCCTATAAATAATGTTGGCAGCAATGGCAGCGCGCGCGCGTTAGTATTGTTTGTAGCAGGTGCTTCCCCGAATGTATACTTTTAAGCCCGACTTACACGGAATTTTGCATTCTAATGTTTTGAGAATAGAGTATATTTTAATAATTATTTTAATTACGATTCAGAGTATCGTTTAAACTAGTTTAAAGGGTAATTTCCCATTATATTGCCTTATGACAATATGTCATTCTCATACATAATTCGTACAGATCTCATGGCAATCGGATGCAACATGTACTTATGATTAGAATGAAACGTAAATTTGAACAAAACTATCGCGCTGAATGGGAACAAAACCCATTATTTGCTTCGTGGCTCTGTAAAGATATACACAGTAATAATCATGCTTTCTGTAAAGCTTGCGGTGTTTAAATTTTAAGCAGATTAGCATCTATTAAAGAACACAGTGGTAGTAGCAAACATGATAACAATATGAAACATTACAGTGGGCGTTCAAGGGTATGTAAATTTGTTTATGTTATCGGAAAGTTGATAACTATTCTATTATATTATTAATTTAACATTTTAATTCATATTAATCAAACATTTAAATTTTATTTTATATTATTCAAATATTTTAATTCAGCAAAACAATAATAACAATCAAAAACTTCCAAGTTTTAAAACTGGTTTATCATTTTTCTAGAAAACTTCCAATGAGGTATACTATGCTAGACTAAGATGGTTTTGTTTTGTAAACACAAAGTTTTAAAACCATCTTGACGATCTCCGTGGCAGAGTGGTTTATAAGCCCCGGTTTCAAGGCGTCGCCATATCTAGAGGTACTGGGTTCAATTCCCGGTGGGGGCAAATGTTTGTGTGATGAATACAGGCATTTGTTAGAACAAATTTTCTTTGAAAGGTCTTTGATGTTTATATAGGTATTGAGTATATTATGAATATTTGTTTAAATATATCTGTTATGTATATTTATCCGACATCTAGTATCCACAACATAAGCAGCATAAGCTGCTTACTTTGGGCTTGTTGATAGGTGTTATTGTCAGAAGATATTTATTTGTTTAAAATATAGTTATTTTTATTGTATGCATTCTAGGTATCTAGATGTTTTATTTATTGTGAATTTAATTTTGTTTTATCAGATGAAAAAACTAAAGCCGAGCTCATGTTTTGCGCTGCACTAGTTGAACAAAACATACCTTTCAGATTCATGGACCACTTGAGCGACGTCTTAAAACGAGCATTTCACGACTCAGAGATAACAAAGGCATTCACATGCAAGCGAACAAAAGCAGCTCATTTTATATATGACGCTATAGCACCAACATTCGAAAAAAAACTATTCGAAGATGTTGTTTCATGTAAGTCGCCTTCAGGGAAAAACATATTTTCTATAATAATTGATGAGACTACTGATGTTAGCACTGACAAAATTCTAGCTGTAGCAGTTATGTATTACTCCACACAACATAAATGTGCTGTGACTAAATTTTTATTTTCTATTACTTTAGAAGGAGAATCTTCACAAGATCTTTTTGATGCGTTATCGAATGGCTTAGAAAAAAATAATTTAAATGTAGCAGACGTAACTACGTCTACTTCTGTATTCGCGGCAAAACCAAGTGGTTTTGCCGCGAATACAAGTAATGTAATTTTTGGTACTAACAGGAGTGTGGTGTCAAACATACAGTCTATTAATCCTCATTGCATTTTTGTAAAGTGTGTATGTCACTCTGTTGCGCTATTTGTAAGCTATGCATGTAAAGAACTGCCTCGAAATATTGACCAGATTGTTAAAGATGTTCACAACTATTTTAGTCAAAGCAGTAAGCGACAACGAGAATTTTCCGAATTTCAAAATTTTGTTGACATCGAAAATCACAATTTATTGCGACATTATGAGATCAGATGGCTTTCTTTACATGCCTGTGTAAATAGAATAATTGAACAATGGGACGCTTTGAAATTGTATTTTAATAATCGATATTTATTAGATCGCAATCCTAATGCTGAATTTTTAAAAGTTAATTTTGATGATTAATGTATCAAAATTATACTTTTTGTTTTTGGATTATGTGTTACCAATTGTTAATAAATTTAATACAATTTTCCAATCGGCATATAGTGCTGTCCATCGATTATATAGGGATATGAGCGATATGTATAAGGCCTTACTGAGTGGCCTATAGAAAATATTGATCCTAGCAGTGAAATAAATTTGCTTGATATTAATCAAATGTCTAAAAGTAGCAAAATTAATTTTAAATATGGGTAGGGATCATACACAAAGAATTCAGGAGTTTTTGAGAAGGTCGCGGTTATTTCTAATTGAGCTATGCATGCAATTGAAGAAGAGACTGCCAATAGAACATCATTTGTTTAGGGAGTTAATATTTTTAGACCCCCAAATAGCAGCGTATGTGCAGTTTTCTAGTCTCGTATCACTGACTCAACGGTTTCCTAATTTAGTGTGTGACGAAATTACACATCAATTAATTGACTAAGAGTATCGTCAGTTAAAATATGACAATAACTTACAAAATTTACTGGCGTCGTCCAGTGACTCTGCAGTATCACAGGATACTGATAAGTTTTGGGCGAGCGTTCATAAATTAACAGATAGTTATAATAAATTGAAATATGATAATATCTGTAAATTCGCAAAAGCGGTGATGTGTTTGCCCGTATCGAACGCTTGTGAGCGAATATTTTCGCAAGTTAATTTAATTAAAACTAAACATCGTAATCGGTTTTTAAATACACACATATCATCGCTTTTGAACACAAAACAAGGGATAATTGATAGTTTAGAAAATTGTACAAACTTTGTACCTGATTCTAATATGATTAGACTAGCTGACCCTGCAAACGTTGCTATTTCAATATTTAAATATATAATTATATTTTTTTTTTAATTTCTTAAAATCGGTGAAAAGAATATTCCTATCAAATTTCAAGTCTTTAGCTCTAATGGTTCCAGAAATATCGTGATGAGTGACTATATACGTGGAAATCTCTTATATATATATATATATATATAGATTAAGCAAAAATTGTAATGAAAATAAATATTCTCAATCTAATTAAAATAATAAATCATGTTTTATTTCAACCACAATGTTCAAATGCATCAAAATGTAGGTTGGTAGAATTTCGGTAGATTTTTTTTTACTTCAGTAGATTTCAAAAAGTTGCCGAATTTAGTAGATTAGTAATATTTCATAACGGTCACACTGGACATGACACGTGTTTGACAGTTGTGATGTAAAAACATTGTGAAAGTTTTCTGTTTGCACCATAATACATTCTATTTTTATAAGTTCCAACCGTTCTACGTTATTTGCTGAATAAGATTTGTAGTTACAAATAGACATCATTACATAGTTTTTAAGGGTTATCCTTGATTTATATAGAACTAAAGAATATGGCCCCATCATCCGATTGGGACGAGATAAAAAGATTAGCTGCAGATTTTCAAAAGGCGCAGCTTACTTCTACGTCCCTGAGGTAGGTAGTCACAATCTTTTTTTAAATAATAGGTTGCCAGGCAAGTACACGGCCAGTCGAAAAATAGGTTACAAAGAACGTTGCCAACCATATCCCATCATGGTGCTACAGAGAGTTTACCAGAGTGGCGTACTCTTACGTGTATACCACTCTAGCAGCCTTCTGTTAGGTATGTATCCAGTCTAGCAACTTCAATTCGAGACTAAATATGCTCATATAAACAATTATGTAATCTATAAACTAAAGAAAGCTCTGTAGGTTTAATATTTTCATTATATAAAACAATTTTTGCTTCGCCTCCTGGAAAGTCATAATAATTTTTCCATTTTCAGATTGTCTGAGAGAAACTGCATAGAAATTGTTACTAAACTGCTTGAGTTGAAATTAATTGATGTTATATTTACTACCGATGGCAAAGAATATTTGACTCCTCAACAACTTACTAAAGAAGTAAAAGATGAGTTATATGTCCATGGAGGGCGTATTAACACTGTTGATCTTGCTAAAGAGCTGAATGTTGACCTCAGTCAGATTAACCATTGTGTAGCAGACATTATCAAAGGAAAAGAAGTGCAACTTGTTTCAGGATACTTAATAGCTCATTATTATTTGGAAAAAGTTGCAAGAGAAGTAAACGAGAAATTACAACTTCAAGGTCAAGTATCTGTGGGTGAGTTGACACTACAATATGATTTGCCAGCGGAATTACTGCAGCATAATGTTTTAGAAAAATATTTGGGAAAAATCATTATTGGGAAACAAGATCCATCAGAACCCAGAACTTTCTATACTGAAGAATACATTACAAGGACAAAGGCGAAGATTAGAGGTGCACTAATGGGTCTACTGAAACCTACTCCTATAGCCGTTATAGTTAATCATTGTAATTTGACTGATCGCCTCTTCTTGTCTCTGTTTGATCAAATAAATGCACCTGGGGTACTGACTGGTCGTCAGGCAGGAGCATTGTATGTGCCATCATGTTATACTAAGACTCAAAATGAATGGGTAATGAGTTTCTTTAAACAAAATAATTATTTAGAATATGATGCATTGTCCCGATTGGGGTTATCTGACCCTAAAGGTTATGTCAAAAAAACTTTGATAAATGAAGATTTGACTTTTCTTAGCAGCTGTGTTATAGGTTCTCAAATAAAAGGACAATTGGAAACGGCTCTTGAAGAATGTATTGCTTCTAAAAGTTATTTGGATGTTGTATCTTTATTGCCATCAGTTTTAACTGATACTGATATAGAAAATGTGCTTGATGACCTATTAAAGAAATCAAAATCGATAATGTTATTTGATAATACAGGTAAGTGAATGCTCTTTTTAATCTGACATTTTTCTATGCATTACTTCATTCACATAAGTCATTAAAGCCTATATTTTCCAGATCTCTGACTGTTAGTAAGACTGATTCAAGATCATTCATCATTCAATTCAGATCAATTAAATCAAATTTCTATTGTTATTATTCTTTGAAAGGTGAAAAATATAAGACAAATTGACACAAATCTCAAACAGATTAAAAGCAAAGGTTCTGTGTCTAACATTTATTAACTCATTGTACTGTTTTGTAGGGATTCTGTGCAAATATTAATATATTTCCACAAAAATTTAACTAGTATAAAATTTTATTACAGTTTTCAGTAATCATTATATTGAACATTTAAAGCAAAATTGCATGCCAATGACACAAGAAAAGTCAGAAAAAGTAGTCAAATCTGGCAAATATCAACAATTCTACATGGAGAAACAATTACAAAAGTCAGTGGATATACAGCTAAGTCATGTGGACCATAAAGCCGAGAGACGAGAAGAACGTAGAAGAAAAGCTGCTTCTGGCAAAGGAGGTGGGGGTACTCAAGGTCGAGAGACTAAAACAAAGGCAGTTAAAAAACATGCAAGATCTAAACAAACTGCTCATGATTCCGATTCTGATGATGGTGTAGGTATAAATAAAAAGGCACAGACACAATTAGAAATTGTATCTGTTGAGGACATTGAGAATATTATCAAGGATGTCCTAGAGAATGAGGGTCTAGAAGATTTAATTACTAGGGTGGCAGAACATCTTCAAGTGTAAGTAGAATTAAATAAAAATATATGTATTAAAACAGTGTGATATTAAGGGTGCTAAAGGATAATCAAGTATTTTTTTGCAAGGATACAAATTATCTTAAATTATCTTTTCGTAACAAATGGTATCCAAATTCAAATAATTTCAAAACTTAGATGTTATTAGAATGAGAGAAAAACATATTACATTTTAGAGAATTAAGGAGATTGTGGTAAGACTTACTTGTGAGTGTAGGGTACAGAAAATGATTGTAGGTGTGAATGAGTTTTACTTTCACAGAAAAATACTAATAAAAATAAAATACATACATGCTAGACATTATGTTACTACATAGTAACATAATGTCTAGGAATAATATGTTACATGTAGTACTTTCTTCTAAATAAATCATTTTTGTTTTACACAATAGAGTTACATCCCATTGCATGTAATAATGTTAAGAAATATTTAATAAAATCAATTAGAACTTCCACTAAAGTAAATAAAAATATTGTGCAATTGCTATTTTTCTTTAGATGGCCTATGTTATCAAACTAAAAATTACAAAACAAATGAATGAACGAAGTACACACTAACATTTTCTTAAATTTAACTTTTACATTTTCAGGAGCCTTAACCAGATTGGCCTAACAATAGCTAAAGAAACTGCAGATAAATTGCTTCAGGATGCCAGTCAAAATAAGAAACTTAGTCATACATCTGCTCAAGATAAAATTAATGTTTTAGTCAATGATATGAGACTGTATGAAAAGGGTCTAAAGTCCTTACCCTCTGATCAGCAACCCCAGTTTATTAAATATCTTCTAAAGTCACTGGGGGGTGATATACTAGGAGAGTTTTGCAAGTATGCAGCAAATCAGTGTAACTTGTCTGTACCAGGTGATGTGCTGTCTGTTGAGCAACGAAATAAAATAATTAAAGATTTATCTGATGAATTTACAAAGCCAATAGTATCACTAAATGCTACATTGACAGAGCAAAATATGGAAGCATTCTACCAAGCTGTAGATGTATGTTTAGCAGAATTTGGTATGATTTTAAAGAAAGTTGACAAGAAGAAAGATAAGTATGTAACAGCTAAAGAATGTTTTAGAATTTATTTGTCATACCATAGTTGTATTCACACTATAATTACTTGTCTTATATTTTCAGACTTCTTATCCAAAATCACAGAGAGAAACTCATTTCTGAACTGGAAAGCTGTGATGATCCAGCATTAAGTTTACACATAGCTGTATTGGCAATTTTTACAATTATCACTCAAAATATGCTTCATGCATCTGGTAGACAAGTATCAATAATAGTATCTTATTTAAAAACCCAACTTAAAGAAGATGACTATGAACGACTCCAACTGGTTCATGGTAAACTATTTTCTTCTCTTCTACTCACCTTTGCGCTCAGTCGACTATCTGCATTTTTAACTAACAATATATGTAATAAATTGTGTATTTTATATACTCGGCAATTTAGATTATATATATACAGCGTGTCACTTATGTTTTCACAAAGCTGTAAACAACATATTCTGCACATTATTTCTAGACGATTTGCAAAATATGAACAAAAAATATTCAGTGGTTTAGAAACAGGACATTTTGTTTGTTTTCGTAATTTGCAACATCATGTGTACATGCAGTCATAATACATTGACCTGAGCTGTATACGCGGTAATCACACGTTGCCACTTTTACTACACTCGAATCGAACGAAATATGATGATTATTGCATCATCACGATGAAGGACACGCGTTTTTAATTAGTTCATCCAGTAAGGACAGCAGTCGGCCCTTGGCCACCGGCGAGTGTTATGCTATTCTGTATCCTTGTAGATGCGCTCACGACAAATAACCGTTATAATAATATTGTTGTTGTTCATGAGATACAAATTTGTTTAGAAAAGTTTTCTTGTGGGAATAATTGTTTAGTCTTATTGCTTTCGTCATAATACACGGCAATGGTGTGAACAATTAATGTTATCGTGTGCGCAAGACTTCGTAATGTAACGAGTCCTGCTAATTTTATTTTGAAAAGTGAAAATATTAGGTTCTGTGTGTAGTGCAGTGTGAAACTGAGTGAATTATCAGTCTTTTAATTTTATTGGGTTATCGGTATCAACATCCATAATGCCGTGAGTGACCTTCACAGCCGCGGAATATCCTGCCATGATGTTAATGGAAAACTCTATCAAAACGCATCTTTTGCTTTACGGACAGGTATGCAGTCAATCGTGTATGTCCTACTGACTGCCGAATTTTTAAAATAGCGGTTCAAAGATTACGAGACAACCAAAGTACCTACTTTTTCAAGGAGTGACACGTACTGCCGGGTCCGAAGCTAGTCGAGCATTCCCAAAATAAACACGTAAATAAAATCGTATTCTTAATAAATAGATTAAAAAAAGCAAGTGAAGTGATTAGTAGGTAGGTAATAAGAATGTAAAGTTCGCCGGCTCGTCGCGGCGGCGGCGTCTCTTTGATGTCGCCGACATTTAGACGCTGCCGTGTACAGTTCACCGACTCATGTTATCAATGGTGTTCTAATTCGGCAATTATTTTATTGTATTTATTTTGTTCTAAATTTGCATTTCTGTATTTTCGTACTATTTTTTTTTTTAATTTTAACCGACGTATATTGAACCGTGTTATCTGTTATTTCATTTTTTGTGATATGTATAATAACACCCGTTATATAAATATAAAAATAGGAAGAATAACAACAATTACTTTTATCTTTAATGTACTGTATCTTTCTGCCATCCATATCAAATTAAGTTTACAAGATTTACCTCATCTACATAAATATGACTCAACTTGTAGCATTCCTTGCATTCATCATCATCATCAACAACAGCCTTTAGTAGTCCACTGTTGGACATCTGCCTCTTCTTAGAAAGGGGGTTTTGGCCTACTATACCACGTTTTTTTTCGTTGCATTATTGTCGGCTTATTGTAGCATTCTTCATAATGAAGTTATAGGGAATACAGTGGCGGGGAGGGAAGGGTAAGGTCAAGACAAGAAAAGCCATATTGCTCCAAAAATGACATTCCTTTCCTTTTACCCATTTATTTCATTTTATTCTTTGCTGCCACTTGGGCAATGTAAATATAAAACTCTGAAATTTTACCTGCCTACGGCTCATAAGATGAACAAACAGACCCGCAGCTTAGTCTTAGTAATCAGCTTCTGTTGGCATTCTTTGGGTACAGAACCCTGAACATTACTCAAATCATCATCATCACGTAGGTTTTGGGCTACGAGTACTAGACCAAGATGGCCAGACGGGTTGATATAGGGTTTGTATCAAGTTTTCCTTTCTCTTTGCGGTGCTGTTATCCTGCGTAGTTTGCTCCCTTAGTCGGCCCTTACGACACCCACGGGATGAATAGGGGTGGTGACACTTCGTATTCGTAATCTGTCACCACACGGACTCACCCAAATACCCTTGTGGGAGTCGAAAGGGCTTCGTTTAGGCTGGTAATATGTATGTGAGAGGACTGATAACGGTATTAATTACATAGTCACTGTATTTATACGTTTTCGGTTTTCACGATATACAGTTAAGTAAAACAAATCCATGTCAATGTCAAAGTATTGAAAATACTTTTTTATTTACAGAGTTAGTTTCAAAATATTTAACGTGCACTGAAGACGAAAAGAGCGCAATTGAAGAAAAACTTGATCAAGAATTACCTGCCCTAAAAAATATGGTTCTAGAAATTAAAAAGTACAAGTGACGTATTTTTCTACATTGTGTTGTATAAAGTTCAAATTGGTGTATTATAAACAAATATATACATGTCTATATGAAGTTTGTTTTTATATTTTTATATACCTTTCACATTAATGCTTCGCGGATTAAGTACACCGCACAATGCAGGTATCAACAAGCAGCAAGCATAATCTTTACATAGTATAAAATGTTTGCTTAGATGTTTTTAACTACGCAACGGATTTTAATGCAGTTTTCATTAGTAGAGCGAGTCATTCAAGAGGAAGGTTTATATCTATAATACATGCATATAGAAAATCTGGACAATTAAAAAAAAATGAAAACCTACTTCGTCTACGTGGTCAAACTGAGTAGTCAAACTAATTTGTCCAACAGGCATAATTTTCCAGATGGTCAAACTTCTCGGATAATGGATTCTTTTTATAATTGTCAAATGCAACAGCGATGATGTGATGATTAAATATTTGTCATTTGTATCATATTGCCACAGTTTTATTACATTTGCCGCGACTCCCACATACGAAGAAACAGAAACATTAATTCCATCCAGAGGATCCTCCCTTTGTGTTGGAGGGACATGACACCCGTTCCTCCACACTTTGAATTATTTTGAGTCGCTTGCAATTTAATTACATTATACGATGGATATAAAGTACATAAATCGAAGAGGAGGCACTATTGGCGGTTAAACCCTAAGGCAAAGTAGGCACGTGCTTGGTGGGTGCGCGCGGAGATTTTTTTAACATAAAAAGAGCTGTGTCAATAAGTATGCACATACTTACACTATAAACAATCACTTAATAATTCTACATATAAAGATTATTTTATTTTTATTATTTGCTGCTGCAGCTGTAGTGAGATTACTCTATAAGTTGTAATAATAGACCAGGGTTGTCCAGTCAATGGCACTATACGGTACAACGGCTTTATTCTGGGCGATCCGCCGATATAAAGGCGGAAATGAGTGGCTAAAGACCGTTTACCGAGCCACAATGACTCGTTGGTCGTCCCGGCTGGAGGCTCCATCGGAGACGGTTCAACAGTTCATCGTCTAGTAGGCAGGGTAGCAGCATGGGATCCTTCCCTTCCGACTGACGCAGGTCTTTGCTTGCCTCGTCTGTTTAGAGAGGTATCAGCAGTCGATCGCTAGAAGTGAATTGAGTTGCGCCTGTCACTACTGCGTGCAGTTTGAACTCGGCTCAGCACACACTGGTCAACGTCAAAAGATCAATCTGTGATCATAGTGCTTGTATTAGTAGGATTAGCGAAAAATGCCTGAAAATCCCGGAAAATTCCTATTGGAGTGAAAAAAATATTTTATTGAAGATTCAAATATCAGGAATTGATTGCAATAAAAATTATAACAAAGTATTGTCAGCTAAGGTAACAAAACAAATGTTTAAAATTTGTTTTGCCTACTCCTACGTAAAAAGTTTAATGTAACAAATGTGCGGAATAAAAAACAAAAAGAATGAATCCCTGAAAGTTTAACTACAAATATCTAAATTTATAGATCATTTGATAAACATACATTTGTTTTAATAGACAATAAAGAACAGGTACTTTTTGGGTGCGCGACGGCTGAGCGAGTGTAATGGGCAGCTACCTTGATGTAGCTTTGCAAATGCTGATGTGCTTTTATAATATTATGCATCGGCGGATTTTACGCCTTAAGCATTCTCTGCCAGTTGACCGATTGGGCGATGCGGAGAAAGACTGAGGTAGGTGGACTTATGGGGAGGTAATAAATGATGGGATTTTTATAAAGTACATCTATTTTGTCCTTGGAGTAGATAAATATTAGCAATAATATATACATATACCCAAATATACATACATATACACACATACATATACGCCCCGTTGAATTCGCCCAGCAAAACCGAACTGCCTTGCCTCACGCTTAAGTTGTCAGATTTCTTAAATATACACTTACTTGACCACTACAACTTAATTTACATATACGGTTGATATTACATTATATTACTGTCCATTAAATTTGCCATTTTTAATGGACAGTAATATAAGAATACTAGCTGACCCTGCAAACACTGTTTTGCTATTTACATTTGTTTTTTTAAATTTCTTAAAATCCTTTCTTAGCTGACCTCTACTCGGTGAAAAGAATATTCCTACCAAATTTCAAGTCTTTATCTCTAATGGTTCCAGAGATATCGTGATGAGTGACTATATACGTGGAAATCTCTTATATATATATAGATTACATTACATTATTGTCTATTAAAAATAGTAATTTTATAGTTTTGCATGCGGACTCGTTTCTTTTGAAAATGTTCAAAAGAAACGAGTCCGCATGCAAAACTTGCGTCAAGTCAACGTTTTAATGGTTATTTTTGTAAAAAAGTTTTTATTAAAAGATTACTATTCTGGCTAATGATTGTCTCTGTAACTTTACAAATTATATGTACATCATCTGACGCAAAAAAAAAACACCTCAATTCCGACTTGTCAGTTTACTTTTGTAATTTATATAATTGGAATAAAATGAAAATGATTGAGGTTAGAATCAAACTTACGCTCCATTTTTCGTTTTGAATTTACAGCTTTTCATTAAAAAGAGTTTACAGTTTACGAAAATAAAAAAAAACGACTCAGTATTCCTTATTAACCAATCAGATTCCCCAGCCAAACCACAGAACTCGACTAGAAAGAGATAGAGGGAACTAACTAGCATCCATCTCTCTCGTTGCCTTTATTGCAAGAAAGTAACCTCTTGTTTACTTTGTGCTTATATCTCTATGGTATATACAGTATTACGTAAAACACATTTGGCAATAAAAAGTTACGATTCATTTTATTGGCTGTACAGAGTCATAGATGTTTTAGTTTTAAGAAGTCTTTACAATATAAACGAAAACAGGACTGAACAAATTAATATGCATTTATTTTTTATTATTATTTCAGTGCCGTTTAATTAAACGAAAAGCATAGAATTAAAGTGAAATGAACGAATTAAAAAATAATGATTAAATTATAACGAAGACGATCTCTGATTAGCAAGTCTCTTGATAAAATAAGATTGGTAAAATAAATTGATTACGCTTTACCACAACGATTAAAATGTAACAACACTAAAATTTCAAAAATCAAATTATAGAACGTAACCTTTTGACATCTCGCAGGAATAAAGAATCACTTGATTGTTTAAATTATTTGTAAAAAGTGAAATATTACATTCATTGAACTCAGTAGTAGAAATAATTACTTATTTAAAAATTGTTATAATTAAATTAGGATTGTTTTATGTTTCGATCATATCGTACAAAGTTGCGCTCGCTAGTCACAGAACCGCAGTTTAACCTGACAAAATGCACGTGGCTTGTATTATTTACTATTTTGACAACTTTGACGTTTGTCACTAGTTTTTTTTTTGTTTGTGGCAAACTGTGCCGATGTCGACAATTCTGCCAAAGTCTAGTGTGTGTGTATTACCTTTTTACTATTTTGACAACTTTGACGTTTGTCATTAGTTATATACATGCATACTGCCTGGTCTAAATATGTCTATAGTATTCAATGTTGCCAACCTAGTGGATTTTCCACTAAAACTACTGGTTCCGACCCCCTTTTAGTGGCGAAATTTTGCTTTTAGCCCCTGGTGGATTTTTTAGTGATTTATTTATTTATTTAATACTTCCTGTAAATACATTGCATAAGGCGGACTTAGTGCCATAGGCATTTACTTCCAGTCAACATTTGGGTAATGCAGAGCTGTGTGTGGCAGGTGTATAATTGAAGCTAGTGAATGAATTACCAGTCAATGTCCATCGCAAAGAATATAATATATAGATTTATTAAGTATACATAAATACATTTTGTACGTACTCTAAACTTAAAGTTAAATCGGCTGATGCACATCCTGACTTCTAGTGGGAGGGCGTTCCAGAGATTTCCAGCTTGAAAAACGAAGGAAGAATGAATAATACTCGAATTATGTGAAGGACTATCAGAAGAGCGGAGATTCCTATCATGGTTAGAGGAGAGATATTAGAAGTGAGATGTTAAATAAGTAGGTGAGTTAGCTAAGTAGAGAAAGGAGTACAACATCGTCAACGCCCTTGAACTACGGCGTTGTCTTATAGATAGCCATGATAGTTGCGTACGATAGGAGGATATATGATTATGCTTTCGTAAGTTGAATATTAATCGAATGCAATTGTTGAGAAGCCGGTCTAGTTTATTGAGCAGATCTGCATTCAGGTCGAGGTAACACACATCACCGTAGTCTATGACCGGTAGAACCAAGGTCTGTTTTAACATCATCTTCATTTTCGTGGGAAGAATTTTTTTAGGCGATAGAGGCTCCGCAAAATGTTCGTGACTTTCTGACTGATACTAGATACTTATGGTTGCCAACTCAGAGTTGAGTCTATGTGCAGGCCAGGATCCTTGACCGATGGACTAATGGGCAACACTGTACCATTGAAAACGATATCAATGATACCATCAGGATCAATTCTCCTCGTCATTTTACGACTCCCTATAATGATCGCTTGGCATTTAGACGGATTTACGGTTAAACCGAACCTGCTGGCCCAGTTTTTTATGGTGTCTAGATCACGGTTAGTGTTAATTATAGCTTCGTCCAAATATTCATGAGTTATGAAATCGATGAATAGTGAAAAGAGAAGAGGAGAAAGAATGCCGCCGTTTGGAACACCGGAGTCAAGTTCAGTCACCGGACACCGGAGTCAGTTCACCGGAGTCATGTCGATGTTGATTTATCGATTCGGACAGACTGCTGGCGTACACGAAGAAAGGATGAGAACCATTCCAGGGCATCGTCTGAAATCATGAAGGGGGTAAGGATGGCTAATAGGATATCATGACTCACGATGTTGAAGGTGTTTGAAAAGTCAATTAGTGCTCATACGGTAATTTTGCCGTCCTCCAGCGCCGCCTTCACATTAAGAGTCTCCTTGGCTGTCCCTGCACTGTGTCCAAGTCGGAATCCTGACTGATATACGTTTAGCAAATTGTTTCGGTAAATAAATTGTGAAAGTTGCTTATGTACACAAGCTTCTAGGACTATTGAGAGAAAAGGGAGAATAGATATTGGACGAAAATGATTAGGGAGAGAGAGATTAGGTACTTTGGCCAATGGATGTACATAGGGATGGAAAACATTGGGAGTCCAGAGAATAATCAATTACGTGAGTAATGGCGGGTAAAAGCTGTTTCAGGATAGTGGTTACCATGTAACAGCTTATATCATCACAACCAGTAGCATTGGACCTGATAGAGAGTATGAATTGTTTGACCTCGTTGGGTGAAACTGGGGCAAAATTAAAGGACTTTATATTAGGCCTAGTCAGACGCGTCACAAAATCGATGGTTTCAACCTTGCTTTGATGATCCAATATAGAGGGAGTCTTGAAATGGCGATTTAGTAGTAATGGTAAGGTTGTAGAGGACTTAGGAAATGCTGTTGAGAGATGAACTGTGAGAACTTTTTGTGTACGCAAACCTCAAGAACGTTTGATAGGAAAGGAAGAATTGGGATTGGATAGAAGTGATCAGGAAGGGAAGGATTATTAATTCAAGGCACGATGGGATGATGTAGACTCTGTACCAGAGAAAGGTTTCGGAGTCGATAAAGAAGTCAATGATGTCGGATACAACTTCGAGGACGTAATCCAAGATGGTAACTATCATCCTACGGCTTGAAACCATTGCGTTATAACAGACAAACAGGATGATCTTTTTGATATCCCCAGAACACATAAAAAAAATCAAAGGACAATATTGGGTCTGGGCAGACTAGCTATATAATTCAAGGTACGACTCTATGTTTAATGATCCGGTTGAGTAGCAGAAGAAAAATGAACATTGATATCACCCAAACCAATGCAACTCAGTTCGTTGTTGTCTACCAATGTACCAATGCGGTTCGTTGTTGTACAATGTGCAACGTGTTACGACACCTCCACATACTAGAGGCGTTGCTCTTTGAAGATGCCTAAGGGACCAAGGGACTTCGTCATTTGAGGAATTGGCTACCTTTGGCATTATTCTCTTAATACTACCTCATTTCAATGCCGATGTTAAGTTGAGAGACTATAAGTATATATATATATATATAAACAGACGAATAGAATAGAAGTTGGAAGGAGAATGGTGCAATGTTGTATAACACAATCGGTACCAAAGAATCGTATTATTCTGAACCCGATGATGAGGGTGCTGACAAAAACGATTAGTATCAGTATTAAATTTTAATAAAGGAAACTTGTTATGAATATCGTTATGGTGTTCTTTCATAATTACTAAAAAAACTGTTTAGTGGAAAATTTTGTGCCTACTGGGGAAGGGTCGTTTTTCGTTAGTGGTTTTCTGGTGGTTTTAGATGTTGAATCTGGTGGAGAGTTCATTTAACTGTTGGCAGCACTGATGGTTTTATTATATTTTGGTCAATCAGCTTTATTCAGTCAGGCAGTTTCAGTGCTCAGTGAATTACTCATGGTAGGAGTGATCTTGTAAACTACTGTCTTGTTATTGTGCGAAGGCTGTAGTTTAAGTATTACATGCATTTTATTCGAAATTTTATAAAAATAGCTGTTTTAATATTCTCTTACAAGTAGATTAACTATTGTGAGAGTACAAGCTTAATAATAGACAATTTATTTAAGAGCGCCATGTGCTTTTGAAATTTGTATACAACTTGGTCAATTTGAATAGCTGTGAGATGGATATAGAACCTAAGGAAAATTCCGATTTACTGAAGAAAATTAATACTACTGAAACAAATGGTAACTTAAATCATGAAGAACAAGGGGGTCCTCCAGATGGAGGATTTAGAGCATATGCAGTCTTGGTTGGATCTTTCATGACAAACGGTCTTGTCTTTGGAGTGATAAATTCATATAGTGTGATATTTCCGGTTGTGGAGAGCTATGTACAAAGTCAAAATGTAACGAACGCATCAAGTTGCGCATGTAAGTTATTTAATTTATTATTACAAATCACTTATGGCAGGTAGTTTAATATGCTTAAAGTCTAATTTAATTAGAAAAGCTTTCCATGTAGTACAATTGCCATTGGATAATCCTTTTCTTAAAATGAGCTATCCATAATTTGCTTTTAATGGATTTCATAGTAAAAAGTCACACATAATTATTCTCATTGTTCTTATTGAGAAAAAAATACTAATATTATTAATGGAGTTAAAATACTTAGGAACTACTAAGACAAAATATTGTACATGTATTATAGTGTATAATGATATCTAATGGTGTCATTGTCCTTATAATTAATTTATCTTGCACAACTTTAATACAAAAAAAAACAACCACACTAAAAACATAAATACACCTTTCTACTGATTGTATTTTTATGTAGGTACTTAAAATGCAAGTCTGAAGTTATCTATATTAAAGTTAGTTTATCAAAATCCCTGAAACCAGAAAGCCAATTCTCGCAATAAAACTTCGGTCTCAATTCAGTTCTGATCAACTTTCAATTTCGATTATATCATATTGTAACTGAAAATTGAATCTGTAATCTGCTGGTCTTAGTAAATATTTTACAAAAAAAATACCTTTTATGACAGTTGTGAGATCTGAACTGTTATTACGAGAATTGGTCTTCAGATAACACTTTTGCTTAATAATCAGCAAATACATAAATGCAACTTTTAAAGTTTTTAACCATGTGTTTCTCTCTCTCTACAACCTATTATTGGTTAAAAAAAATGTTTTTTGAGCAATTTTATTTTCATTTTTAAATTGAAGACAGTTTACTTCAGTAGAAAAAAATATTTTGAATGACAATAAAGATACTTCATTATCATACAGAATAGTAATGATTATTCTGCCATCATAAAATCCTTATTATTTCAATTTTTACATATTTTCAATGAAACTTTAATTTTAAAAAACAATGGTATTGTTGGTTTTTCAAATTTATGATACATATAATAATAAGTAATACAACTAATAATAAAATCTTTATTGAAAACTATAACAAAAGCAAATGAAACAAATAAATGATTGATACATTGCATGGAATGTAGTACTGAAGCAATCAGTTAGATTTAAAAAAATATAATTTTATTTTCCCTTATCTTATGAGAAGAAGATAAATTAAATCATAAAAAATAATAAGAATAATCCAATTCTATCTTCATATTACTATATGTAAAAGAAGCCTCTTTTCTTTACACTTTGATAACTTTATTAAAGTCTACTTCAACACATCAGCATATAGTACAGCTACATATACACTTCATTTATTTCTGTTTTAATAATATAGAAAATGTTAAGCAACAAATTGTATATGAGCTGACAGTGATTAAATTTTTAGTAATTACATTGGTTGCTGATATATAATACAGTGTACAAAACAAAGCAGAGTTCTGTTGTTTGAACCACATGTTGAATGTAATTATCTGTCCCATTATCAGAATAATTATGTCTGTTTATGGACAGAGGGCTTGAGAGGTTATCAAAATATTAATATATATATATATTAAGTTATTGTTCTTTGTTCTAATTCACAACATAATATATTTGTTTTATAACTTTTCTATTGCATAATATGCATCTTCAAAAGCATTTGTCTATGGTGCTCTTCACCTTTTCGTTTTTAAGATATTAATGATAAATTACTCAAGTATGGTTTTACTGTTCCCAAAATATTTATAGTATGTGTTCTTTAAGAAAATCATGAAAGCAATTGTTAAATGATTAATTCTGAAACTGGCAAAATTCTTCTGCCCAGAGTAAGAAGTGGTCTGCCTTTTTCTGTTTTCTACAGCTGATCTCAATAAAAAAAAAACAACCTCCAATATAATTACCTAGTAATGTGACTAGATCATATTTGCCTGGTTTTAAAAAAATTAGCACAAATTTCGAATCTCAGGAAAGCAAAGGTTCTTAAAAGCAGGTGCATAGAAGATGTTGCTCTTTTCAAATGTAAGGGTTTTTAACCTGTTCCTTGGCAACAATTTGTAGCCAGTGTGAAATCATAGATGTACTGTAGTTTCAAATATACCTGACGTGGCGTTTCAGAGTGTCTCTGTGCCATTTTATATAACAAAGCTATCCACATATGTTAATAATTGTTATGTAACACATACACACTTTTTACGAAGGAAGTTACTTACTAAAGGACTTCACAATAACTTAGCATACAAATATGTATATTATTTAAAGTAATTAAACAATACTGTATATATTAACCTGTGTGCGTGTATGTTGTGACATTATCAAAAATGATTAATAGGAACAAATAGTAGAACGACAGGTTAAAGGTTTACTAGACGTAGATAAGGGTTCAATTGTCACATTGTCAGTTTCGTCCGTTTACGTGCGGAATGCCTTATATTATTTTTGCCCAGCACAACCAATCTGTGGAACAAGTTATAGTCTGTGGTATTTCCAGGCCGATACGAACTTTAAACATTCAAGAAAAGAGCGTACTCCTTCCTAAAGACCAGCATCGCGCTTGTGACTCCTGAGTGGCAGGTTCATGGGCGGCGGTAATCACTTTCCATCAGGTGATCCGTCTGCTCGTCTGCCCTATCTTTCGTAAAAAAAGTCTCATGGTGGGTACCATTAATAAAGTACTAATTAATAAACAAATAGGCAAAAATTGTGATTCACCACATCGTAAACCACAAAAATGTTATCTGAAGACTAAGTATGCCAATAAAAAATAAACATTTACTAATTTTAATCAGTCTAACATTGGGTGATGTAGTGCAAAAATGAAGAAGACAAAAATTGCATCGCTTTAAATACGTTTTACTTTACTTTAGGCCCATTTTGGGGGCCGGAAAATATGCAATCAATATAATTTAACGCTTTTGCTGGTATCGTTAATTAATTGTTAAGTTGAACCCAAATCTGTTTACATAATAATATCTCGTAACTCTATTATTACTGCTTGCCGCTTGCGGTGGTGCTAGTTCTACATTCTAATAACCTAATTCCACTTTAAATGTGCTTCGACTGCTGTACGGTACGAAGTAAGATCTGGCGTTGGTGACACTTCCGATACCTCGTCGCACAAGTCACATCCGCGACCACACGTAATTTTGCGACTCACACCGTGACTCATGAAGCTCGAAAATCACATGATCTACCTACCTAGAGGCATTATTTTTATATGCGAGAGCTTCAGATGCTTCAGCACACATGGGCCGGGTCGACAGCAGTAATACCACGGCCTCACAGAGAACTGGTGTTAAGTAATTCCTTTTTTTCTTACTCGGTCAAATGTAACAAGCACAACATCGAGTGTGGTTACCGGAGACCGAACTAAATTCTGGCGGAGGCACATAAAGGACGGCAACGCACGTGACTTTTGACTTCAAGGTGTCCATAGGTGGCGGTAATCACAGGCTTTATCTCTAATTTTGTCCGGCTTTGGTGTCATTATCACATATGATCAAAATCAAAGTTATCTATTTACTTTAAGACTGTAGTGTATTTTACATGCACACAGACCCTACGCGCACTATTAGTATACTAACTTTTTTTTTTCTTGTGCGGAACTCCCCTCGGATACCACCCACCAGTGTAGTTATGTCGGACTCGAACCGACCAAAAACCGCACGCCTTCTTCAGGTACCAGTAGCTAGGGAACCAGGTATACCCTAGAAAGGAAAGCCTTGGTACCCCGACGTACCTCATGCCATCTACAGCTTATAGATGACCCCTCCTGTATGGGAAGCCGGATGTTCTCTTCCTGCCCCGAAGGGCGTGCGCGCTCCGTAGCGCGTCGCGCCTTTACCACCCCGGCCTGCCACCTAATCTAATCTGCCACCAGAGGTCCCTCCAGCACTCTCTAGCGGCCCGCGGCCCCGTCGGCGGCGATACCAGCCTAATCCTCTGGGCCCCAGCCCTCCTTACCCACCAGCAGGACAGCAATGATTGCTGTCGGGGACAGGTCTCTTCCGATTTAGTCGACCCCGTGTTCAGACCCCACGCGTAGCAGTCCTCCAGCGTATGCTGTGTGGAATCCCACCACTGCTTCAGTGCCTTTCGGTAAGCGTTCTGCCGCATTTGCAGCCTGTCCTGTTCTTCCCCGCTCTCAACCTGGCGAATCGCGCGAGACTGGTCATGGATGGATTCGCCAGGATATCAAAGAGCGGGAAACGTGCCAGGACTGTTTGACATCAAAAACCTAGATAAATATTTTTGCAACCTTATTTACTAAATTAAAGCATAAGCAAAGACCTTTGATGAATTGGTTTGAGAATTATCATCGTAATCGTTAAGTAAGTATCGCTGGCTCTCTAAGTGATATGATTCTAACCGACAAAGGCACGGCACAGGGTTCGATTCTCGGGCCAACCGAATATTTGTTATATGTAAATGACATGTGTGATGTATTCACTGAGGGATCGGTGTATCAGTTTGCTGACGATACATGCTTGATATCTGCGCATAAAGACCTACGTGAGGCGCAGAGGGTTATGCAGCGCAACTTTGATCTATTGTGTAGCTGGGCCCACGATGTGGGTCTAGTGATTAATGCACAAAAAACTAAAATGATGCATATACATTCACCTTATTTGACATCGCCTTGTGAGCCAGTCATTGTTGCTCATGAGCACTCGTGCTTACATCGGACGGGAACCGTGTGCAGTTGCCAATCATTAGAGTTGGTGTCTCAGCATATGTATCTGGGTCTTACCATAGATAATAAATTCCACTGGGGGCCTCATATTAATAAAGTATGTAGTAAATTAAGATCCTTTCAATCCAAATTATATGTACTTAAATATAAATTACCTTACAAAACACTTAGAACCATGTACCTCGCACTTGCCAACTCCGTGATTGGCTACAGACTGGGTAGCTATGGGCGCACATACAAGACCTACCTCGAAAACATTTATAACATACAATTAAGCATCTTAAAAACAATAGTACCTAGAAAAACTAAACTACAATTTAAAGAAGACGAATGTGGCCTATTTAAACACTGT